ATGTGCGAAATACATGCATCCATATATATATACATATAGAAATAGTGGTAGCGAGAGTATAATGGAAAGAGGTAAGAATAGACGAAGATATAAACAAAGATAATATAATAATAAGGAAATAATAAACGAGTGCATTACAATAATAAAGAGGAAGAATTGAGAGATTCTTAATTGCAAATGTAGTGTTTTCTTATATTCTGATATAGAGGTTACAGATAATCAAGAACCATTTATAATCAATTTGATTTAAAAAGATTCTTAATGAAAATAAATTTCTTCAAGATAGTAATGAAATCTCTGCAGCAGTCTTGACAGCAATTTCATCAATTACACCATTTTTATAAGCAAAGAGCTCTCTTTTCATGGAAATAATGTTTAACTCATTCAATATAACATCAATTGTAGTGTATTTTAATTAAAACATTTGTTTTTTTTAAAAATCTACAATCAGAATCATAATCTGTGGGATGGTTAATCTTCTCATTTGTGCGATCGCTAGCTAATTATATATATAGAGGTAATCACGTGCGGTGGAGAGCCGCCTGAGCAACTAGTACCCAACAGTAACTATACCAGCTCACATAAACATTTTAATATGAATTAGTCAACAGCATCTCTCAGTAAGTAGAAAATCTCTCTCTATTTCGCGTTGAAATGACAGTGATGATCATCATGAGCTGAGGAGTTCTTAAATACTCATGTACTGAGTTGAATTATTTTACTTTTGATTTAACTAACTTATTAAACTTTTCAAAGAGAAATAAAAAAATATATGTATGATAGAAAATTAAACTAGATAGACTCTGTGTCAGATAGAGAACAATAAATTAAATACTGAATCACAATCATCATCAGATAGCCTTGAATATGGGATCAAAGACATATGTCAAACACTGCAACCTCAGACGCTCAGTTGTTTGCTATCATTGATACCAAGTTATTGCAGAGCATGTCATTCATGTTTAATCATTTATTAAAGAATGTATTGTTAAAAGAGCATCTGCATGATTGCAGATCGGTTCTGTGGAATATGGCGAATCTTTCAGTTGCTGGAATTCTCACTTTAAGTTCTGCAAAGGAAGGGAGCTGAACTGAGAGGTTTGTACATCCACTGAAACAAAATCGTCAGTGGGTACTCTACAAGAGCTATACAAATCGATTGAGTATGAATAGATTTTTCAGAGGAAATTTCTTTACAATATACATAATTTCAAGCCGCCGATTTTCAGAGCTGCTAACATATCAAAAGCTATTCACTTCTTTTCTTCAGTTTTCTTTTCTGTTTGTCCTGCCCTTTCTTTTTGAATTTCTGAGGTTTGAAGTAACTCTTGTATGTTGTTCAGAATGGTGAAAGGTACAGCTTTTTTTATATTTTTGTCAGTGAATTGTCTTTTAGCAGCTGTAAATAACACTCATAATATCTTTATTCAGTGGTGGAAAATGGCTGTTTAAAACATCATCTTTGCTAAATTTAATTGTAAAGTATAGATTATCTTTGTGGATGAGAAGGTAGACACCTCTACAGCGACAGTCATTGAAATAACTATGCAGCATACATCATAGCATTCCTTTCCATTGATAATGCATCTGAATAAGGCTATTGCACTCAATCTATAACTTTTCAACCCCTTTCAAACTTTATGACTCCATCTTATATTGCTGAAATACAATAAAAAATAAAGGCTCTGAGATTTAACTGTTTTCATTGTATCCCTATGAAGAAGAGCTTTCATTTTATAGCTATGAATAAGGGTTCAGAAAAAAGATAATCTTTGAATCAAAGAAGTGTTTCAAAATGACACTTCTGCCAAAAGATTATTTCAAATGATCAGTTGTTTTGTTGCGGTGCTTGTAATGCCAGGCCACAATTTCAGATTGCAGGCCATGGTTTTGTGATTCAAAATTGTGGCTCTCTTATGTCACTGATCTGAAACAACTGATGACTGTAGAGTTGCATGCCCAACATCTGTTACTGTGCATAAGGGAATGGTAAACTGAGAGAATACTAGACCTAGAGAACCCTAGAAAATACTTGACCAGGAGAATGTTTGACCGGGAGAATGCTTGACTGGGAGAATGCTAGACCCAGAAAATGCTTGATTTAAGAATATGTTGAATAGAATCTCTTTTTGTTTGGTATATTGAGAGTGTGAACATTCCATGGAATTTCTATTTTCTGTTTGCATTATTGGGCCTTCAGGATTTTGTTCCGTATGTATGTATTTGACATGAATTGTTAAATGATCAAGCTTGCAGTTGTTGCATTTACAGCCTGGACATATAGAAAATTAAAAACAGAATATTTTTCCACGTATCATTCCACCATTTGGCTCTTGCTCTCGACTTTACCCGCACGCAGCCAGCAAGGCACACGGGCAGGAGTGGGGAGGTTAGCTCCCGCCTGGGATGGCATGTGGGGACAGTTGAGAAGGTGCTTACTATGGCAGCCAGAGGGGTCCTCCCAGTTTTCCGTACAACGCCCATCGCTACCCTATACCGGGATGCTGGGCTCCCATCAGCAATGGTAGCTCTGGAGGAGGCCAAAATTCGATTCGCGACAAGGCTTCAGGTGGTGGATGAGAAGCACCCATTGGCTTCACGGATAGCACCTCC